ATATATATATATATATATATATATATATATATATATATATATATATATATATATATATATATATATATATATATATATATATATATATATATATATATAATACACATATACATATAACTCCCCACTGTAAATACATAAAACTAAGAAAAAGTGCGCGCGCGCAATGGAACAGTTGGGGTCGTATAGTAAGTCAGCATGAATATTTAAGCAGCAAGCAGGACATTCCTCACGGCGATCCTCAGACCCTACACGAGGAGGAGGTACAGCGACTATAGCGAGTGTCTTGCCTTTAGTAGTCGTTGCGCACGTTTAGCCACATAAATAACACAGGCGCCTTGGCTGTGGTAGACGGGGGAATGATGAGGGGGTTGGGGGGGGTTGTATGTTCGTGCGGGGGAGGGGTGGGGGGGGGAGGGTGGTGTATGGTGCTGGGATTACGGAGGGGGAGAGGGAGAGAGAGGGAGAGTAAGAGGAAGAGAGAGAGAGAGAGGTGGGAGGGAGAGGGGAAAGACAGAAAGAGAGGTGGGGGAGCGGGGGAAAGAGAGGGAGAGGGGTAAAGAGAGAAAGGGGGGAAAAGGGAGAGAGAGAGAGAGAGAGTGAGAAGGGCAACCAAGCGTAGTCAAAGACGGTTCGAGGCCCGTCTCTCAAGACGAAGGTACAAAGCGCAAACGAGGATGAAGAGGAGGAGAAGGAGGAGGAGGCGGAAGAGGGGAAAAGAAGAAAAGGATTAGGAGAAGAAAAAGAAGGACTGAGAGGGGAAGAAGGTGAACCAGGAGGAAAAGAAGGAGGAGGAGGAAGAAGGAAGGCCACGGCGTCGGCGGCGGCCCAGCAGCATCGGCCGCCCGCCCAGCATCCTCCCCGGCGAGCGCGCCCGCGACACTTGTTCGGGGGCGTCGCCTCTCATTAGAGTCTGAGACTAATTAGTTCGCAGTTCCTCTCGTCTCTCGGACTTTAAAAGGCTTTGTTGCCGAATAATGAGACATGAAACAGGACTCGTCTGAGATATTAGCGGGTTGTTTCTGCGAATAACAAGCATAACGGAAGGTATGGGTCGGGCGCGTGGCGTTGCGTGTCGACATGCGAGAACCGATTTTTTTTTTTTTTTTTATCTTTTTTATTTGTTATTTTTTTTATTTATGCATATATATTTTTTTCTATTCGTTTTCAGCGAGAACCGATATTCTTTTTCATTCTTGTATTTTCTTATTTATGCATATTTTTTTTTTTCACCCGTTTCCTATCGCTATAACAAAACCCATATCAACATACGAATAACACAAAAAAGAAAGAAAAAAAAGTGCTAAAATGCAATAAAGAAACTTTAAAAGAATAACACAAAGAGAGAAAAAAAGGCTAAAAGGCAATAAAAAAAGCTAAAAAAAAGAGAAGAAAAAAATAACACGACTTTGAGGAGCTCGCGTCCAGCCCCGCCGCCGCGCCGAGCTCCGAGCCACAAAGTCCTTCAGAAGCGCGCTGCCTCTCGTCGGGGTCGGGGCGTGAAATGCGAGCAGACACCCGCAAACTGCTGCTTTAAGAAACCCCCAGACTTATTTTCTGGGAATTACCGAGTAGATTGGCTTCTATCGGCCTGTTATTATTCCCGTTTTTTCATTGGCCTCTCTCCTCTCTTCTCTTTCTCTCTCTCTCTTCTCTCTCTCTTTCTTTCTCACTTCTCTTCTCTCTTTTCTCTTTCTCTTTTCTCTTTTCTCTCTTCTCTCTTTCTCTCTCTCTTCTTTCTGTATATTTGGTTGGTTAAGGAGGTTAAGGGTTGTGCGAATTGCCTAACGATTTGTTTGTTTTACAAGATGTGTCGTTTTTTCTTTTTTTTTCTTAATACGGACACGTGTAAGCGAAGAGGAGGAAAGAAAATCCGAGACAGGAAGGCCTAACCAAGGAAGAAATAAACAACTTTCTGCCGCCGGTATGAGACCTGTCACTACATATCAGGTCACATATAGTAACTGCTTGACCTCGCGTGCGCTCTGTCGCCTCCACAGCTGCCAACCAGGTGTCTCCGCTTTTCCCCCTCAAGTCGGAATTCTTACGGACCATCCTTCCTTTTCCCGTCTCCTTATTTCGTATCTTTCTCCACTCTCTGGCAAATAAAATCGATAAGTAATGAAAAAATAACTATCGACGTCACAAAGCGGCGGCGTTATATCTCTTGTTCTTTTAAAGTAATCGGAAACTCAGGGGGAAATTAGGCCCGCGCGCCGCCCGACGTTCATTTGTCAATCATGGTCTCGCGCGCAGAATCAACAGGGGCGCGTGGTTGGGGTGACAGCGCCGTCGTTTTTCCACTACGTTGTCAAGCTTGACGTCTTTGTAAACACGTCTGAGGGGAGTCGAATTCTGGTAAAAAAGGAAAGAAAGAAATATTTGAAGAAATAATACTAAAAGAAAAAGAAAAAGAGAGAGAGAGAGATACAAGACACCAAGACGTTCGCCATGATACAGACGACACAAACCGCGACGCGCCATTATGCACCAAGAACCAATTTCTCTTTTTTTCTTCTTCTAAACATTTCCTAGCCCTTGCATTAATCGACAGCGCGCGCACGGTAGCTAATTACGGGTCGGGGTTCAATACGCCATGAGACATTATCGGATCCAACGCCGGCCGCCCCGTGTAGCATTAGATTTGTAAGGCCCCTCGGATATTCCTCACGCCCGGCCCTGTAGTGGACGAGAGAGAACCCGAGAATGTCCGGGATTATGTTACGCGTTTGGCAATGAGGCCGCTGATTATATCATCGGGTCGTGTTTTGGTGTTAGGTGCGTTATGATCTCGGTTGGAGGGAACGAGGAATTATTTAGGCGACATTGGGAATGCTCCTTTGGCCTTTCTTTGGCTCGATGTTTATTTTCTTTTTTCTTTTTTTTTTTTCTTCGTCTTGTGATGAGAAAATAGGAGGGAGAGGTAGATACGAGAAGAGGAAAGTCAGGGAGAGAGAGAGAGAAAGACAAAAAAGAGAGAGACAGACAGAGTGAGAAACAGAGAAGAGAGAGAAAGAGAAAGAGAGTTAGAAAAGAGGGAGAAATATCTTTGCCTTTAACACATTTTCTTCGCTACATGATGCTCCTTTGCGAGTCATTTGTTATTCCGACTTTATCCAAGACCTGGACTTCCGCTTCACAGGAAATAACATTATACATTTCCCCCTTTTTTATATTTTTCCCCTCTCTCTTGAAAAAAAGAAGGATAATGGAAACCAAAATGACACGCATAATCTTACCTCTTCAAAATGATCCCACGCAAAAAAAAAGACGGACCCAAACAAAGAAAACTAAAAAAAAAAAAACATAAGGGGAAACTAAACTAAACAAAAAAAAAAAACGGAACTGCCTGCGTAACTTGAGACGGTGTTTTGGCCAACTAACGGACCCGAGCGTCTTACAAGGCGGACGGGCGTGCCAACGGGGGCTCAAGACGATCACCTTTTGTACCTGTCATTAGAGATCTCGACGAGTCTTTAGGATTTTGTACGGAGATATTGATAGATAGATGGATAGATAGATAGAGATGGGAGAAGGAGAGGGAGGGGGAAGGGAGAAAGAGAGAGAATGAGGGAGGGAAAGAGAGACAGAGAAAGAGAGAGTGAGTGGGAGTGGGCGTAGGAGTGAAGAAGGGAGAGAGAGGAGAAAGAAGAAGAGAGAGAGAGATTTAGTTATCATATCGTGGAGTAGATGATACTCTTTCTTTTTTTTCTGTCTTCTCGTTTCTATTTTATTTCCTCTTTTCAACTTTTTTTCCATATTCTTTTTTTTCTTCTCCTTTCTCCTTTTCTTTCCCTTTCTTCGTTACCCTTTCTCATTCCTTCTCTCATTTTCAGTCTAATGAGAAAGAGAAAAATAAACTAACTCTAATTTCCCTCTTCCTCTTCCCTTTCGTCTCAGCTCCTTCAATTTCCCACTTCTTCCCATCTTCATCATATTCCCTCTTCCCTTTTCTTTTCTTTTCTTCTCTTCTCTTTCTTTCGCTTTCGTCACCCCCTTCCTACCTCCTTGATTCTTGTTCTTTCGGATCCTGCTCTTGTTCTCCTCCTTTCTTTCTCCTCTTCGCTTCGCCTCCTCATCAATCTGTTTCCCAACCTCATGTCATTTCAACCCTTCTCCTCTCCTCCTTCCTCCTCCCCAACCTCCTTCTCGTTCTCCAAACCCCCTCTCCTCCTCCCCCACCCTCTTTTCCTCCCCCTCTCAAACTCCTCTTTATCTCTCTCTGCATTTTATATCTCCTGCTCCCCAATCTCTCTCTTCCTCTCTCTCTCTCTCGTCTCTCTCTCTCGTCCTCTCTCTCTCGTCTCTCTCTCTCTCCTCTCTCCCTCTCTTCTCTCTCTTCTCTCTCTCTCCTCTCCCTCTCTCTCCTCTACCTCTACCTCTAACTCTACCTCTACCTCTACCTCTCTACCTCTACTCTACCTCTACTCCCCTCTACCTCTCCCTTTTTCCCCCCTCTTTCTCCTTCCCTCCCTCCTCCCTCCCTCCCTCCTCCCTCCTCTCTCTTTTCCCCTTCCTCCCCTTTCCTCCCTCTTCTTCCTCCCTTTCTCTCCAAACTCTCCGTATCGCCCCGTTTCCTTCACTACAGAAGCTAATCCGATCTATAATGTCATTGCTTTATCAATTCAGTTGACGAGAGCCCCGTAGGTAGGGTGGGGGGGGGGGGGTGCGTGATGTAGTTTATGGTAGATACGGGCGTTTTTTTTCTTTTTTTGTCTATTCGTTTATTTATTCTGTGTGATTGTTGTTAATGTTGTTATCGTTTTTTTAGTGTTGGTTGGTTGGTTGGTTGGTTTGTTGTTGTGTCGTTTGTTCTTCGTTGTTGTTATTATTTATAATGTTAGCATCATCATCATCATCATCATCATCATCATCACCATCGTTATCATTATTACCACTGTAATTATCATCATTATCATCAATAATCCTAATCGCCACCTTACTTTTTCTTTTCTTAATCAACAATAATGATTCGTCTAACAATTATTTCCTTTCCTCCGCAGGTTCTTCCTCAAATTCTTCTTGAAGTGTAACCAGAACTGTCTCAAGAATGCAGGGAACCCCAGAGACATGAGGCGCTTCCAAGTGAGTATTATCTCTGCTATCTCTGTTCCTTAAGATACTAAATAAGGCCATAGGTTATACATACGTACATACGTATATGCATACGTACATACATACATGTATACATACGGACATAGTATATACGTGCATACATACATAGAGAGAGAGAGAGAGAGAGAGAGAGAGAGAGAGAGAGAGAGAGAGAGAGAGAGAAGGAGAGAGAGAGAGAGAGAGAGAGAGAGAGAGAGAGATTGATAGAAAGAAAGAGAGAGAGAGAGAGAAACCAACTAGAAATGAGAAACAGACCGAGAGACACAGGGCTCGCGAGACACGTAGAGGCGACCCGACATATCTACACACACATACACACTCCACGCTATGAATCAGCGGAGAGCCAGGGTTCCTCCTCCTCCTCCTCCTCCTGCTGCTGCTGTTAATTTGTCGGTTTTGTCATAACAGAAATATCGTATTGCCGGGGGGAGAGGGAGGGAGGGAGGGAAGAAGAGGAGGAGGAGGGGAAAGGGGGAGGGACGGTAGGAGAAGGAGGAGAGGAGGAGGAGGAAGGGGGAGGAGGAGAAGAGGAGGAGGAGGAGGGAGGTTAGGGGGAGTATCAAAGGAGGGGGCGGAGTTGAATTCGTCCGCCCTAAAAAAAAATCCTTGTTTCTTTTCTTCATTCTTGTTGTTGTTGTTAAGTTGTTGTTGTTTTTTATTACCAACATTATTAATATGCTGTATTACATGCTCTCTTTCATTTATCTTTATCAGTTCGTCGTATTTTTACTCTCTTTTCGCTGCGTGAGTTTTTCCTCATCATTTCTCCTTTATTTTCTCTTCCTTTCTCCTCTCCTTCATCTCACCTTCTTTCTCCACGCGAGGGTTACGAACGAAAGAGAGAGAAGGATCAAGGAAAGAAAAAACAAAAGAAAAATAAAAAAGGAAAAAAAATGAAAGAGAAGTAAAGAAAAAAGATAATAAAAGAGAAGCATAGAAAAGGGAGAAGACAAAAGCAACATAAAAGGCAAAGAAGAAACTCATCAACACTTTCCCCACGACCCGCCTGTGAAGATCGCCCGGGTTCAGAAAAAGGGTTCAAAAAAGGGTTCAAAAGCGTAAAAAGAGGTTCAGAAAGGGTTCAGAAAAGGAGTGGACCAAAATAATGGTTCATGAAGGGTACAAATAAACAGAAAAGAACGGGAAAAGGGGTTCAAGATTAGTTTAGAAAAAGGTTTAGGAAAGGAATCGATAAGAGTTCAACAAAGTATTGAGAAAGGTTCAGTAAAGGGTTCAAAAAGGGGAACTGCCAATAATATTCTAAAAAAGGGGGGTTCAATAAAGGTTCAAAACGCGGGGATGTCAATAGAGTCTTAAAAAAAAGGAAGCCTCAATAAAGAGTTTGGACAAGGAGGTTCAATAAAGGTTCAAAAAAAGGTTCCATAATCCGTAATCTTGAGAGAGTAAAGGAGCTCAAGTCTCGACCTTGATAAGGTAATGAGTGGGTGTGTGGAGGAGCGTCCCAGGGGAGGGCGAGAGGCACTGTCTGTGAGAGGCACTGTGCCACACTTGTTGTGCCAGTCCCTCCTGCTTGTCTCCCGACCTCAGCAACATCACTACCTCTTATCTCGTGGCGGCCTTATCAGGGCTTTTTTTTATGGATTTTTTTTCTTTTTTTTTTTCTTTTTTTCTGTTTTTTTTTTTCTTTTTTGTTTTTTCATGTTTTTTTTTCTCTTTAGGTTTAGGGATGATTATTACAATTATGATGAGTCAGTTTTATCGTGTTTGGTTTGGTTTTGTGTTTTTTTAAGGATTATTCTTTATAAAGCGAAAGGAAATGTCGCAAGAGATATTAAAATTAGGGAAAATAGTGTATACTTATATGATACGCAACAGGCCTATAGAAATTCGTTCATGATCAAATACTTTAGAGAGAAAAGAGCGAGAACGGCGTCTCTTGGAAGACATTTCGCACGGGCGGGAAAAGGCATTAACGCGTCACTCAAGAGTTTCCTGCGGGTACTCGTGTGACGCTCCGTTAATCTGGCAACTTTACATCATGCTCAGAGACATAAGATTTAATCTGCCTCTCCATCATTGTAACGTAAGTTAGGCAACTTGTTTAAACTTTGCCCGTATTTCATTATCAAATATAAACGACGGACAGGATAGACACCGGGTGCGGGGCGGGGCCTCACGCGAGCCTCGGGCGCGAGACGACTCCTTTTGGAGACTCGATCCGACTTTTTCTTGGGACTCAACCCGACTCGTTTTTGGGACTCGACCCGACTCGTTCTCGGGACTCGACCCGACTCGGCCGAGGCAGCGGCGACAGCGTGATCGAGCGCAGGGTCAGTAGCCCGCGCCGCAACCTTGTTGTAGCCCCAGCCTTCTCATTACTGCCGCGGGCTTGGCGGAAGTGAGGGCGTGAGGCTAGCCAGGCCCCGG